CTTGTTTACAGCGTAAACGTGTTTTATGTAATAGTAATGATGTAGCGTTCCAGAATCATGTACACAATGGTGGAATGAAAAAGAGAAAACCCCCCCGTCGCGCTCGGAAATAATCAGACCCTGCCTCGATGGATCGGCGATATTCCTGAATCATTCTTCACCGTGTATTCTTTGTATTTTGTGGTTAGCCGGTTTGTCACCCGCGTACATAATAGAATCAGCAAAGCATTGAAACCCTTCTGCTATTGCGAATTGAATAGTTTTATATCGAACTATGGAGATCTTCATATATAGAAAAGTTTAACAGGACTTACTAAGGTCTCCTACTATTATCAGTAATAGTCAGATAACATGAAATGCACTGAAACAATTAATAAAGCGTTGTGATGTGCTACCAAAAGAAACGGTAGCGGAACATCGGCGAGTCACGCAATCTTTTATCAAAGTAAGTCTAACGCAAACGAACATGCAGCGATTGCTCCGAAGATTCGTCCACAGTTTTGAGAATCGCTTCACATTTTTAAATGATGATAAAATAATCTCAGGAGGTCCCATTGCTAAGTCGTTCGGTCGAAATTCTGCAAAAAATTTCTGGCCATGACTCTGACTATAAATTGTAGGTGTCGAGAACAGGCCGGGCCGAGAACATGGNTTGCCAATTTAATAGTTTTATATCGAACTATGGAGATCTTCATATATAAAAAAGCTTAACAGGTCTTACTAAGGTCTCCTACTGTTATCAGTGATACTCAGATAACATGAAATGCACTGAAACAATTAATAAAGCGTTTTGATGTTGTGATATACCAAAAGAAACGGTAGCGGAACATCGGCGAGTCACGCAATCTTTTATCAAAGTAAGTCTATCACAAACGAACATGCAGCGATTGCTCCGAAGATTCGTCCACAGTTTTGAGAATCGCTTCACATTTTTAAATGATGGTAAAATAATCTCAGGAGGTCCCATTGCTAAGTCGTTCGGTTGAAATTCTACAAAAAATTTCTGGCTATGACTCTGACTATAAATTGTAGGTGTCGAGAACAGGCCGGGCCGAGAACATGGCGATTTTAATTTAGTACACTCGACCTCAGAAAAATCCGTCAAGTAATTCTAATTGCATAGGAAACCAAAAAAGGCAGTCGGTATCCCTTACATTTTCCAGACAAACATAGAGTGTTAAAAGAGCTTCAATAAGGCATTCCGTGGAAAATCTGTCAAAATTTCAGACTGGCGGGCAGGTTATAAACAAATCCATGCCGTTCCCGATTACGGGGTATATGATCGAAGAATTGCTTTAACCAACATTAACCAAGCGACTGACTTCTAATGAAAGAAAATGGACAAACGCTTCAATGCCACAAATGCAGTAACGCTGTGTAGGACTAAAGAAATACACCTTGTGCTCCCAAAGGTCGCTCTCGAGTACGAGAACGGCGGTACAGCTTAATCAATAGTTTTAGTACCCGCTATAAACTCAGCGTAATTCAATGTTACCTTTAACAAGACCTCTTGTGGAGCATGTATTTCTTTCCTTTCGTATCGAATTGAAAGCGCGATACTAACCACATGATATTTTCCGCGTTGCGATACCTGTATGATATGCTAATTAGATTCGTTGCCATATGGTCTAAGCGCACGCCAGACATACGCGCATCTGCATAAATTATTCCTGTATAGTCCACCGGGGGAGAAATGAAATGAATAAGTTGCCAGTAATCGGATACCAGTGTTTGCGCGAAGAACTCTGGGATCGTCAGGGGGCAGTCGCTAGAACGAAATGTATGGCGAAAAGTTGTTTTGAGGTACAAGAAAACGATTTTTGAGAGGGATCAACGCTTTTTCGCCGTCGTTTTTATCGCGAATGGATTTGGGCAATGTTGATATGTGGAATAGGTAAGTTTTTGTTTGAATAACCGTGAAATATNACCTTGTGCTCCCAAAGGTCGCTCTCGAGTACGAGAACGGCGGTACAGCTTAATCAATAGTTTTAGTACCCGCTATAAACTCAGCGTAATTCAATGTTACCTTTAACAAGACCTCCTGAGGAGCATGTATTTCTTTCCTTTCGTGTCGAACTGAAAGCGCGATACTGACCACATGATATTTTCCGCGTTGCGATTCCTGTATGATATGCTAATTAGATTCGTTGCCATATGGTCTACGCACAGGCCAGACGTACGTGCATCTACCTAAATTATTCCTATTGACCTTTATGTAGCCCCCTTGGGATAGTCCACCGGGGGAGAAATGAAATGAATAAGTTGCCAGTAATCGGATACCCGTGTTTGCGCGAAGAACTCTGGGATCGTCAGGGGGCAAACATTGTCGGTCGCTAGAAGGAAATGTATGGTGAAAAGTTGTTTTGAGGTACAAGAAAACGATTTTTGAGAGGTATCAACGTTTTTTCGCCGTCTTTTTTATCGCGAATGGATTTGGGCAATGTTGATATGTGGAATATGTTAGTTTTTGTTTCAATAACCGTGAAATATGTGACAAAATCTGCCAATAAACTCCGTTGCATGCATCAGGTTTATTGTGAAATTTACATCGCGTAATGGTCTGAAAATATTACAAAATTAATTAGGTATAAATCGAG